ATATGGCGTATAACAAGTTCTACACGTAATACAATTAAGAACAAAGAAAAATAAGTATTAGGCATACTCTCACATTGGTCTCAATGATTTCCGTAGAGTGAATCTCCTTCCTGCTGACTTCTCTAGCGCCCGCCGACCCTGCTATAGACAACCCCCCCCCCCCCCCCCCCCGTAGAAAAAAGTCTGGAAGAAACACTGCCTATATGGCGTATAACAAGTTCTACACGTTATACAATTAAGAACAAAGAAAAATAAGTATTAGGCATACTCTCACATTGGTCTCAATGATTTCCGTAGAGTGAATCTCCTTCCTGCTGACTTCTCTAGCGCCCGCCGACCCTGCTATATACAACCCCACCGCTATCTCACGCTAATGTGAGTTACCCGGGCTGCTTCAGATTGGAGAGCTATCTTATCTGTAAGCGGTCTCTTATCTTATCGTCTGTAGTTGGCCATCGTGTTGGGCACCCTGACAGTTTAAAATGTTTAGAAGAGTTAAATGAAATCCTGCAGGAATATTTTATACCCCAGGTGGATATTATTAAGGACGAAAAGTCGGAATAATTCCATTTGAATATGGGGGAGGGGGGATTCGTATGTTTTAAGGTTTAATTAGTATTTTACGATTGAAATTTACTACGGGAAGGAGGGGATTGCCAAATATTTTGTGCAAAGTAAAAAACAAACTACCTTCTTTTTTCTTTATTTAAGAGGATGTCACACTATAAGTATAATGAGGTCACATTATTTTTTACCTCCGCTAATATCATCAAACTTAATAACTTTACTGATAGATATTCATTTTTATGAAATTCACCCTCATAAATAATTTTTCTCGCCAAGTTTCCTCGAGAAAATCAAATTTAAAAACCACTATAAACTATAAGACGGGTAGCAGGCAGAGCCTAAATTTTTTATCTTGAAACTAATGAAACATTGGTGTCTATTCAAACTTTTGCACAAAGCAGTCTCTACCATAAGATTTGTAGTCGCACGTTAAATATTATGGTATATTAAGCAGGAATGTTGTTACATTTTTCACCCTCATACAATTTTAGTTGGTGTTAAATACAAACACATTTTTTAAAGTAGGTAAACCGTTGATTCGCATTTTATTTTTATTGAAACATGTTTTAAATATTTTTCCTCAGAACTAACGAGATCGTCTTGTTGTGATGACGTACGCTGCACAATTTAAAATTTAGGAAGGGCGTTGCTTGAATAGGAGCTTCACATTCCAGGTACCACCATCCACCCTCGCCACAGTATGAAGCAGGTAGCTTTTCCCAACCAGGCCTTCTTGCTGGCCTTCATCATCACGCTGTTAGAGTTGTCTTTCCCTGCCGTCGCCCAGAGAACAAATCCCCCCAGACGCGGGGGGAAACCAACGCCGCCTTCCACCAGCCCGTCGGCGATGGCAGTCCGACTTTCGATTCTCCAGCTGGACCCCAAGGTCAGGGTCATCAACTTGTCCGAAGAGATGCCGGTCCTTTCCCTGCTGGGGGTGTGTGAGGCGACACACAACGCCAGCAACGTCACGTGTCAGGTAAACACCAAACACATCGAACTCGGTTACATCACCAACGGCGTTTACAAGATCATCCTAGCTGATCATCTGGATCGGGAACACCAGCCGTATATCGATGTCAACATCACGTGCACGGACAACCGAAAAAACCCGCAGTTCGCCAGCGCGTATTTTACGATAAACATCACCGACGAGAACGACAATCACCCGGTGTTTTCACAGTCGCGGTACAACGCCAGCGTGGAGGAAAACGTCGAGCCCGGGGCGATCGTACTGCAGGTCAAAGCATTGGATCCCGACGCAGGGGAGAACAGTCAGGTGCGGTACGAGATCCCTGAGCAGTTTGAGGATCAGGTCCCTTTCGTCATCGACGCCGAGAGCGGGGTCATTTCCACGACGGCGATGTTCGACCGTGAAGCCGTCAGCAGCTACACTTTCACCGTCGAGGCCGTGGATATGGGACAACCGTCACTAAACGGCACGGCGGAAGTGTTCGTGGAAGTCACGGACAAGAACGACAACCCGCCGGTGATCAAAACGAAGACTCTGCGCACGCGCGAGAACCAAGCCGCCATGTCTAACGTTGGGGTTCTGTTGGGGAGCGACTTGGACGTGGGTAAAAACGCGGAGCTGTTTTTCATGAAGGTGGAAGGCGATGCCACGTCTTCCATGGCGCCTTTTTTAGTTGAGCCGAACGGGACCGTTTTATCCGTCGTGCCTTTAGATCGCGAGCAGAGGTCAAAGTATCAAATGACGGTGATGGTCCGGGACAAAGGGTCGCCTAGGCTGAACAGCACGGCCCTGGTTGAAATACTGGTAGAAGACGTCAACGACAACCCACCAATCGTGAGCAGCGAGTGCATGTTCGACGATTTCGGACTCACCCTCGACGATAACTACATGGACGACAACAGCAGTGACGTCAGCGGTCACCTGAAGGTCGATTGGCTCTGCCCGAATAAAATCATTCACAAGGTCACCGCTACCGACAACGACAGCGGCGATAACTCTAAATTAAACTTCGCTCTGCGCGCGCTCGACACGGGAGAAACCCGCAACCAAACCCAAGGGGAGTTGTTCCAAATCGACAAGGACACGGGCGCCATCTCTTTCCGGCGCTGCGTCAACAACGAGGATACTAAAATTAACATAATTAACGTGACCGTCTCCGACCGGGGCAGCCCGAGTCACGTGACGTACTGCGCCCTGAACATCACGCTTGACGTGGACATGTCGAAGCTCCAGGCCGTATTGAAGTCTCAGTCCACACAGAGCATCCTCGGTGCCAGGAACTCGGCCAATGTAAACACGCCCCTCTGGTCAGCTGACCTGAGCGGAAGTCGCTATTTAACCCTTTGTGTGCTGACAGTTTTGGTGTGTTCACTTTTAAACCGATGGTAGTTACTTCATCATGGTCTAGTTTCACAACATTTCACTTTGTTTTATTTGTTTACATCTTGTTATTGTTTCTGGTTGGTTATAAAATGTGTTCTGTAGTCTAGAGCTGCCAGTTGGGCAATGCTAGCAGGCATGTATCTCAACCTCTATTTCAGCTTATAAAAAAATAAATATTTATTCTACATGTATATATATATATATATATATATATATATATATATATATATATATATATATATATATATATATATATATATATATATATATATATACATATATATATATATATATACATATATATATATATATATATGTATATATAATATATATATATATATATATATATATATATATATATATATATATATTTATATATATATATATATATGCATGTAGAATGTTTATTGCATAAACCTCGCCATGTCTAGGTTATTTATGTTAATGACTGTATAGAACGCAGCCTGCCTTTAAAAAAAAAATAGTTTTTTTGGATTTATTTACTCCTGCAGACTCGGCGGCTATGTTATGGGTACGCTGGCATTGCCAGAATTTCCTCAAGCACGCTCCCAAGAAAATTGAAGCAAACTTAAACCCAATCCATGTTGCCATCACCACTGCCTGTTTTGACTGTAGCGTTGAAGCGCTGTTACAAACATAACCACATGTTTTACTTGGTGGCTACAATCAATGATTTAAATTTACTTTTTTTCCTTAAAATTAAGAAATACATTTGAATCCCGTCAAATCGTAACTTGCAATTGTTGAATTATTTAAAATAAGTATAAATAGTTTGCAATTTTTTTTCCTTTATAAAAACAAAACGAAATGCTGACAATTCTGCGCGAAAATTTTCGCCTGGGCAGGCCAAACCTCTGCACCCCTACTAGTCACGCCGCTTTGTAGTTTACTAGATTTGAAAATAGTTTTGTGTGGTTTTTCTTATGCTGTATAAAAAATTTAGCAATATTTAGTTCATTCAGTTTGTTCATTATTTTTAATTTACTTTTAACCCAGCCATAATTATCATCCAACATCATTATATACCCGCTAACTACTGTTATTTTTGTAATGCAACAGTGTACTTGATGACAAATTGATAGCTTATTTCTCATTCGACGCTTCTTTAGGCGGCATTAAAGTACTGCGTTAAACGCAATGATTGGAGTCTATACTTGGTACCTGCCAATCGTGAACATATATGTAAAGTATGAAGCCTAAAGGTCAGTTGTTAGTGAGTAAAATTGTTACAAAAAATAAGCTTTTTTTTAGTAACAGCGACGGCCATCTTTGTGTCCTAATTAGCATAATTTTAAAAAGTACATTGTGGATACTATTTATAAACCCATAGAAGACATAGGTGTGGTTAAATTTAATTTTAATCGAAGATCTTCAATTTAAGGGTTCTTATGTGATCTTCTAGAAGTTCTACCTTAAAAACATTTTCTTAAGAGGCATAGTGGCTAAAGTCTGACCTAATCTACGTCATGGGCTGCACGACTGGAAAAAAGTATTGCGTGATCGCCCTCACCCATTTGTAAAAACAATTCAAATCACAAAAAAAGAAATAAGCATTGGGAAATAGCGTTGCATTTAAATAAGTGCTTTGTATTTTCGAATCACGTAAATGTTTATCCAATGGTCAACCGGTCGCTTTTGCAAAAAAAAAAAAATCACAATGCCCTCCATCAATAGATTTATCTGAACACCTACTGCATCCTATATGGATATGTTCAGCCAAACACCCCCATACCCTCCATCTATATGTTCAGCTAAACACCCTCCATCAATATGTTCAACTAAACACCCCATACCCTCCATCTATATGTTCAATTAAACACCCTATACCCTCCATCTATATGTTCAACTAAACACCCCATACCTTCGATCAATATGTTCAGCTAAACACAGCTAAACATCACATACCTTCCATCTATATGTTCAATTAAACACCCCATACCTTCCATCTATATGTTCAATTAAACACCCCATACCTTCCATCAATATGTTCAGCTAAACACAGCTAAACACCCCATACCTTCCATCTATATGTTCAGCTAAACAACCCCATACCCTCTATATGTTCAGCTAAGCATCCCATATCATTATCTATTTGTTCAGCTAAACACCCCCATACCCTCCATCTATATGTTCAGCTAAACACCCCCATACTCTATATCTATATTTTCAGCTACGCCTCTGTTCCACATTCAACAACGCCACTAAGCTTGTAGCCTCATGCTCAGCATCCGCCTTTGCCCTCACCATGTTTACAAACTTTCAACTAACATCATTTATCATTGTGCTGTAATCTGCTCCCAGATGTTGGTGCTCCACCAAGAGTCGAAGTTGTGCATCTTCTCACTGTTTATACCATTGTTACTTTAAAAAATTTAACCATAACTTCATGGGAACAGAACAAACTAACCTCGCCTTTTATTTAATCTTTATTAAAATAAAATAACCTTTGTCAATTAAATGCGAAGTAAAAATTTTATTGCACAATTGAATTCAAATCAGTTATTGTTTTAAAATGTTATTGTTCGTGTGCTAAATTTTTATTGTATGAATTCTGTGTGGTGTTTTTTTTTCCTTTAGTTTTTTTTTTATATTGTTAATCAAATCATATGTTCTTGCCTTATTTTAAGACTCTTTAATTAGACATATAACACTGAACGAACTAAACTATTTATTTATTTCTTCGACAGTTGTATTAAAAATAAATAAATGCCTTACTAAACAATGATAGTGAATTAGCTTTCTTTGTCATATTTATCAAGCCTACGTCATTTTATAATTTTACCAATAATACGTTGTTGTTTTTTTAATATGCCTTCTGTTTTATTATTTTGTGAAAACTCGAAACAGATAGCCTTGTATATCAAGTTCCCATTTCAGGCCTAAGTAAATATACAACACCTAATAATGCACTCTTAGTATTTCTTTTTATAATATGTCATCTATAAATGAAGTCATACTTTATTACCAATGTTAACAACCCCCCACCCCACCCTCATCCCATCATTAAAAAGCCAGACATCCCCCATTCACCCCCCTCACGATCTTGAAGTGTGATGCTATTTACAGACGACCCTTAATATAAAGTCGATCTACACCTTGACAGTATTTATGGGAAAACATAATGTTATTTTTAAATTTATAAATCGTTTTCTTTTTCCGTTCTTTAATGTTTACGGTGTGATTTTTTTTATTAACACCGGCACACATTTCCCCGTCAAAACTAGGCACTTCAAGTAAGTTATTACAACATAGATGCAGAGTTTCTTCCAGGCATCTCTTCGGGCACCCCCCCCCCCCCCCCCGAACGAGATGGAATTTATATGGTAAACATACACTTTTACTAGTGTTTACTAGTGACCGCCCCCTCCCCCCGAAAAATGTAGACTGCCCCCCGAAAATATCGTCCCCCCCCCCCGGAGAAAAAAGTCTGGAAGAAACTCTGCATGGATGTCGCAGGTGTTGGGTAACTATTTGGAAAAGTGCCAGATTTTTTTATTTATTTTTTTGGAAGAAGTTTGAAAACCATTTCATATTTGGTAAACAAGCTTGCGTACCAAATTATACAATTTAAAATCATTTAAATAATGTTTCGATTAGATTTATGAATACTGAAAAATCAAATTTGCTACGCAGTAGATGAAGTAGAGTACGGCTGAAAACGGCTGTGTTCGTGTGGTCACGCTGGACCTTGTATACCTAATGCCTCACAATCAGCACGACTATGGTTGTTTCAACATATTAAGACGTTTTCAATGTTAGGCCAAGGTTAAGTCAATGGGTAAAGAAGTAACCGATAATGGGCCAATGTTCAGCCGATATTGGGCCAATATTGAAGGGGAGACCTGCGAATGTCTTGGCATATTTCCGGAATTTAAACAAGCTGGCGTTTTCCCATGAGTCTATAGACTGGTGGCTGGTACTACTAAAGGTGAGAGAAAGGTTCGTTTTGTTATCTAGTACCCGGTACTGTTTGAGCCGGTAATAATCGCTTGCAGGAGAGAGCAGGTTATTGGTTGGTGGAGTCTAATGGACCACAAACACCACTTAACCGCACTAACCAACATTACCTAACTACAACCATCTAACCACATTGACTACAACCAGCAAGCTATACTGTCCACCACCACCACCACCACCACCTAACCACGACCACCACTACCTAACCACACTGACCACGACCACCACTACCTAACCACACTAAACCACCACCACCACCTAACCACACTGACCACCACCACCTAACCACACTGACCACCACCACCTAACCACACCGTCCACCACCACCACCACCACCACCACCACCTAACCACACTGACCACCACACCTAACCACACTGACCACCACCTAACCACACTGACCACGACCACCACCTAACCACACTGACCACCACACCTAACCACACTGACCACCACCTAACCACACTTACCACGACCACCACCTAACCACACTGACCACCACCACCTAACCACACTGACCACGACCACCACCTAACCACACTGACCACGACCACCTAACCACACTGACCACGACCACCTAACCACACTGACCACCACCACCAAACCACACTGACCACGACCACCTAACCACATTGACCACCACCACCTAACCACACTGACCACCACCACCACCTAACCACACCGTCCACCACCACCTAACCACACTTACCACCACCACCACCTAACCACACTGACCACGACCACCTAACCACACTGACCACCACCATCAAACTACACTGACCACGACCACCTAACCACACTGACCACGACCACCTAACCACACTGACCACCACCACCTAACCACACACCGTCCAAAAAAAAAACATCCCCCAACGTTATTGCCCTTCTCTCTCCTAATGTCAATTGATTATGGGGAGACAATCAATTCCTCGCGAGCATGACTATTTCCTGGGTTGTCTCCCTTTGTAGGCGAACAAACCGGATTACGAGCTAAGCCAGAGTGTCAACACCGTGTTGATTGCATCGCGACAATGGCCTGTCTCCCTCTTCTATACAATCCCGTCGTCCGTGTTTTTATCGTAGAATTGAGCCGGGAAAAAAATCAATTCAACTTTTACATGATAACGTCAATTCTAAATACAGATCAGCAATTGTTCCAAATTTAAATTGACATCA